TGAATTCCATAGTAAAAAATGTATACCTAGTAGTTGCAAAACTGCTAATTATTAAAAAACATCACTTTTAAAAAAACCGTAAATGCCCTTTCTTACAACACTTAGCTGCACAGTTATGTTTTTGTTGTACCTTGAAGGGTATATCATCTTTTTTTTGTGCCTGCAATATAACTTCGAGCATTGTGTTACCATGCATGGCTCTGGAAAGCTTAGTAGCGAGGCATCTGGTATCATTTTAGTGAGGGTACCGGGGTACGCTGGGATAAAGGGTAATGGTATGGCGGACGCTCTTGCGAGACCAAGAGCAAAGAGCAGACTTCTTGGGCCAGAGCCAACTCTAGGGGTGTCCTCGCAAAAAGTCAGGAGGATAACGAAGAAGTGAGTATCTAGACAACATTATCTGAAATGGAGACGTATAAGGCTGGAGGCTTTTGCGTATCGTTAGATAGAGTCAATCTAAGGATGGTGGTGGGACTATTGTCTGGGCATAACACGCGCTGCGGGGTAGATGAGGAGACCTCGGCGCATCTTCTGTGTCGTTGCGAGGCTCTGAGTTAGTACAGGCAGACTATACCGGGGTTCAACACTTTGGATCCCCAGAATGTTGAGGAGCTATGACTCAAAGATCTTCTCAACTTTTCTAGAAGGGTGGTGCTTGAGGTTTAGGGTGCATAAAGGCCAGTCATGTGGACTATGCGCCGGCTCCTCTTGTAGGCTGTTATGCCTCCAATTTCATTTTTTCTTCCAAAAACGCAAATACGAGCATAATCTAAAGATCATCAACGATAGCTAAAGTAACAAAGCGTAAGTCCGAGTACTCAGCTTTGAGAAAACAATGATTCCTGATGCATTCTTAGTTAATAAAATACAATAAGAAATGTAGCCTTGATATCACAGTAACTATCAACTGCTGTCTAACCTATAGGTTCGTCCAAGCATGACCGCCTCTTTTGGCCATCCAGCGCCAACATTCACCATCCTAGCCCTATAGCAGCGCTACTGCCCACCTCAGATAGCTCTAAAGAGTAGCTCAACATTTATCAGTCGGTGTTACAAATGACAGTATCATTCTCAAATGGTCTTACGATTGTGCCTTTTCGTTAAGTGGTCATAAAAAACCTTTTGCAGTGGGAATCGAGTAAAAAAATCACTGCTATCCCACAAAGTAATTATAACTGCCCGTCTGCAGCTTCCACCGTTCTGGTAAAGGGGTGGGGGTTGAAAGGAAGACGATTAAAAGCAGACCGTTCTCCCGCCCGGTTCATTTCAAGGGTGGCCACACACCCCAGCAATTCACGGCCGATTATGTTTGAAACAACCACCGCTAGTCTCTTCTGTTAATTCGGATGCGTACGAGTGGAAATATTGGAATTTGGACCCACTGGAGAGTATTTGCTAGACCCCGGTCGTTGGAACGCTTATCAGGATATGAATACATATTTTCACTGTGCTTAAGCAGCCATATTTGCTTTGAGTCTGATTTACCATATCAAAAATAACAAGAGTGGGAAGAACTGATCTTCAAAGCTATCGTTCCAAGACAAAATAATGAGAAATGTCCCATTTTCACCTCTCCACCTAAATATTTCGAAAACTGCTCAGTTTAGAATAACAAGTTTTAAACAAAAGTTGTAGGGTCTCAAATGAGTAAAACGATGATGACCTTAACGACGATGACGACCTTTAGGATCCTTACAAGTCAAGTTAATAGTGTCGAATCGAATCCGTTCTTTTTCGCATCGGAATTGACAACAGGGGCAAATTTTAGGTCCGAATTACCTTCAAGGTCAAATCAAGGCAACGAAAACAACTTGCTTCAACAAAAGTGTTCGACAGCACATCTGTCAGATCTGTGGGGATGATCCAAGGTCTAGTCGAACTTTCCAAAGCGAACCCATCATTTTGATATTGGAGATCGAAAAAGCAGGAAAATTCATATCCGAATGTGACCTTGACCTCAAACATAATTTAAGCTTAATACAACTTCAACGCCAAGGTCACATTGGGACGTAAGATTCCCTGCTTTTTCCCACAAAAATGCGAGGTTTCCTTTGACAATGTTGACCTGACCTTAGAGGCCATGGTCAAGATCACCTATGATCCCGACAAACCTCACAAGTGTGATGTGGAACATTTTTGCATGAGCAAATTGTTTTCTGTGTCTTGATTTGGCCTTGAAATGACAGGGAATGGTCAAAGTCATAGTCGTTCGTAACGTTCTTACGAATATTTGGTTTTCATTAAAATTCCCGTGTGAAAAAGGGGGGTTCCATTTAAAATTATTATTTGATCTTGAAATGAACTCGAACATCGTAGTCAATGTCATTGTCAAGGTCACCGTGTAGAATCACATATTAAAACTTGTGTGACTCTATGGTCGTTAACTGTGGGGCTCTCCGAAGAATTCAAACATTGCAATCATTTGATGGTTCCAAAATAAGTTTTGAAGTATATGGCCAAAGACCCTTGGTGTATTCGTAATGGGGATGTTCATCGATATTTGAATATCCCTCTGGTTATGGAAAAGGTTAAGAAAGTAGCGACCAGGCACGAGAAAAGTCTGCATCAGAACCTCATTACAGACGTTTTTCAGCTGCTGGGCAGCCACAATGCTGTCCGACTACGGAAGAGAACCAAGCCGTATGAACTTTTGTAGTGTATTGTCTCCAGAGCAGAGCATTTGCGCGAGCTGTTAGTGATAGTCTTAATTATACGTTCAGATTATATAAAAAAGCGTAAATGGATTGCCTCTCGTGATAAGTGTTAGTCTCAAAAGAATTTTTCTCTTGGCTATGAATATTGTGTTTGTTCGTAGGTGGTAGACGGTCTCTGAATGTCGAACGGGGAGATAGCACCCGGTGCACCTCTAAGGCGGGGCCATAACGAGTGCTAGAGTCCCTGTGACGTCTCCCCCTTTTCCCTTTATCCCCCTATAGTCCCACGGTACCCATGGGTGTTTAGCACTTAGACATTCGTGGTGGTTCAATTATAAAAGAAGATGCATGAACATTAATGGTGGATTAAATTAGCAATCTGATCTCAACGTGCAGCCTATACGATACAAATAGTTAACGTTTTGTATGTTGGTAAGTCTGTTAGGTCTGGTTGCCCAGATATTACACAGAAAATGCCGAAAAAAGTGAAGGAAAAAAGCATCTTGCATTGTTATGTAGAATTCAGAAATTTAAGTTGATCAGATCACTATTTTTTAAATTCGCGATAGTTTATATACTAAGTGACATATAAATCCGAACACCCAGTTTAAATGGTTTTATTTTAATAAAAGTTGGTGAATGTATTTATCTTACTGTAAATAACAAGTGAAACAATTTTCAGCCTTATCAGTTGGACATTCCGGTTTTTATACTGCTTTTTTTTAATTCACTAACGCTCTAAAAATGAATATTTCAGCCGCAGTAAAAAATCAACGTTGGCGGATTTTGGTTCTTGACATCCTTTACGATCGGTTACGATGCCTAGAGTACGGAGACCTGTACGATTTCGTCAACTTAGTGAGTTTGATAGGGGCCGTATAGTGGGATTTCGGGAAGCTGGACTTTCTTTTCAGGAAGTTGCAGTTAGAGTGCAAAGAAGTGTAGACACTGTGGTTAGGTGTTGAAAGGCATGGCTTCGAGAAGGCCGTACGCAAAGAGCAAGGGGCACTGGACGCCGCCATAGAACAACAGACCGTGAAGATATGGTTTGGGGTGCTATAGCTTATGGTTCCAGGTCACCTTTAATCTTCATCAGAGGTAACATGAACGCGCAGCGTTATATCCACGAAGTTCTAGAACCCCATCTTTTACCCTATCTTGACACCCTGGCAGATCCAACTTTCCAACAAGATAATGCCCGGCCACATGTTGCAAGAGTCACAATAGACTTCTTTCAACATAATGATGTCACGTTGTTACCATGGCCACCAAGATCTCCCGACTTATCCCCAATTGAGCACGTGTGGGATATGGTGGGTAGGAGATTGCTCAATTTGCAACGTCCTCCTCAGACTCTAGAAGCACTTCGAGAGGAGTTGGTGGTTGCCTGGAATGAGATACCACAGGAGGACATTGACCACCTGATCAGAAGCATGCCTAGGCGCGTTGGAGAATGCGTAGCACATCAGGGCGCATCCACACATTATTAAAGATCAAAGGGCTTTAAAGCAGTGCAATCATTTTGAAATTTTTATCATTTACTTATTATGCTTCATTAAGTACTTATACAAAATTTTATTAAAATAAAACCATTTAAACTGGGTGTTCGGATTTATATGTCACTTAGTATATTTGGCTGATACAGAAATTATACGATTTGATTTTGTTCATAAAGAGATCGGCTTTCCTGATTCTTTCAGCACCTATCTTATAAATGGTAATCTCATCTTTTACGTATTTCCTTAAAAAATAGCTTTAAACTCAGTAGTTTAACACAGTTTAGGCAGCAGCGGTGGCCGCAGTAGTAGACTCTTCGGTCTCCTGATCAGTCGCCGTGCGCTGTGCGGGTTCGAGTCCCGCCTCAGGAGAAATTTTTCTCTTGGCTATGGATGTTGTGATTGTCCGTAGGTGGTAGACAGTCTCTGACTGTCAAACGCGGAGGTACCACCCGGCGGATCTCGTAGGCGGAGCCAGAATTTGTGCATGTTGCATGCACACGTGTTCCCTCGCCAGAGTCCGTGTGGCGTTCCCCCTTTCCCATGTATCCTCCTATAGCCCCACGGTACCCAATGGTTGCTTAGGCCTTAGGCCTTCGTGGTAGTTGGAGTATAAAAAAAAAACCAGAACTTGATTGTATATTATATCAACCTTCTTTCGAGAAAAAACACCTAACAATGCATGCAGATATGGTAATTTTAATACTGGGAAGGTGAAAATGGGCACTATAAGCAGAACAGAGCTCATCCTTTGAACAACAAAGTGCAAAAATATGTCAAGCTTCATATAGAGGAATTTACTATATTTTTAATTGTATTAAATACCTCCCCTATATTAGCATATTCTTACCATTTTTTATTGTTATCAAGAGATGAATCACGATATGAGACTCCACATTGGGGCGTCCTCATTAGTACTGAATGTTTTTAGGTGCACCTTTTGACGGAAAACGGAATAAGATAAATGCTTCATCCACGTACCACGCCGTGCAGTTGAGCTTAGCAATAATAAACCTACTAACAGAGTGCATGTTCACAGTAAAATATCTCGCACACTGCATGAAATACCTGGTATCATATTGATCATAAACCAAATTCGTCACGGTAATATATCTTGCTCGTTTCTAGAGGCGACTCTCACCGCACGTCCTTAGCTACTAATTAGCTATTAACTAGCGACTATAATTCATCCCCGATACCCGCCTATGGGCTTTTTTATTCGGAGTTTGAATGTCAGGTCCCCCGTTTGGGGTCACTCGATGCTTCCTAATCGTCACGAAATTTATAGCCCGAGACTTGACCCTCGGGCAGTTGGATGCATTTGATGTATGGGTGTCAGATTGCGCTTAGGGCAAGGAAAGAGCTTCTAGTTCTATTACTACTAATCACTGATTAGGGTGGCTATCTCCAGCAGAGCCAAATATAATTTTAACAGAATTTTTAAAAATTAAACGCTCGCTATTAAGTTGTACCGTGTACTATGGACATGATGTTTGGATAACGGATACAATATGGACAAAATAATATATAAAACTAGAGTTCGGGTGGGGTCCATGGGTCTCGAGGGGTGGTGCATGCGACATTCATGATTCTGATGTTTTCTAGATCGTTGTCAACATATCTTAAAAACAATGTTTAAGCCTGAGCAAACCGGTAACTTTTTCATGCTTACATGGACTTATATTTTCAACTTTTATGGATCTTTTTAGAGGAGAGTGACAATAACGATGTAGGCTTGCTTATCCGAGCAGGAAAAATGCTTTCTTGTGTTTTTCAGAATCTTTGTTCTAGAAAATTTGCCAACGAGTAATTTTCATATTTTCAGGAAGCAAAGTAACGTTTCTTTCCACATATTGTGTGACCCAGCACACCATTTCTAAGTACTCACGTGTAATTTTTAGAAGTATGACTATTAAAGCTTTGAAACAGGATTAAAATGCTTAGGGGAACCATCTACGAGTTTGAAAAAATCATAACACCGCAATTTGTGATACATATCGATGTCAGGCTGCAAAGCCCGAAGAAAGAGATACAAATGACACACATACATTTGGTGGCCTAACAAATACTTTATCGGTGTTGAAATATTAAAAAAAAGCTGAGGATGGTTCCCCTTATTTCCGAAAGATGATATTTTTTATCACATTTTTTGTTTTTAGAGAGACTTTGACGTCTGCCTTACTTTGAGCAGGAAAAATGCTTTCTTGTGTTTTTCAGAATCTTTGTTCATAAACTACTTACTAAAAAATTCGCCAACGAGTAATTTTCATATTTTCAGGAGGCAAAGTAACGTTTCCTTCCACATATTGTGAGACCCATCACAAAACTCCTAAGTACTTACGTATAATTTCTAGAAGTATGACTATTAAATCTTTGAAACAGGATTAAAATGCTTAGGGGTACCAAAAACGAGTTTGAAAAAAATCATAACCACAATTTGTGATACATATCGATGTCTGGTTGCAAAGCCCGAAGAAAGAGATACAAATGACACACATACATTTGGTGGCCTAACAAATACTTCATCGGTGTTGAAATATTAAAAAAAAGCTGAGGATGGTTCCCCTTATTTTCAAAAGATGATTAATTTTCCTGTGGTTTCTCACAAACGAATACCTATCACTAGAGACAAATCGTTGATGTTTTTTAGGTGATCTGCCCTAAGAAGTCGAGCTCATGATCTGCTTTGGATTGATCTCGTCGTTACCTAAAGGAATATTCAAATCACGATGAATATCCCTATTACAAAAATAACAAAGCGCATTGACCATGCTCCTCAGAACTCTTTTTTGGAAATTTTGAATAATTTGGATGTTCTCTATCCCTGATAACAAATAATGTTGCATGTAGGAAGGTTCACCTGTTTCCTCCTTTTTGTGGTATGGTACTTCCACTTGAGTCTGATGTCAAGGGTCGTACCAAGTATTTAGCGTTTGGCTTCAATGATAAGATGGTGTCATTGAGGCAAGTATCACACGATCAATATTTAGAAATTGACCATGTAGCCAGAACGTCAATAATTATTGACGCATATGGAATCATCAGAATATACTGATGATACGGTCAATATTGATACTGTGACATTCACCTAACGCTTAGTTGAAACGTACTAGTCTACTTTCGATTCGTGAAGCAAACGTGGATCGATTTCAATTTGCTCAGTTTGATTTTTCATCTCTGCGTATGAGATATTTGGCATTTGGCAGTTGTAAGATTATCCTTTATTATTTGAATACACTGCATAATATTCCGGGAGTAGTTAGGGCCATATCGTCAGTCGTTCCTACAATTGTATGACGTCTTTATGGCCTCCTTGATTCTCATAGCCTTTCCTCTCCTCCAGAAAGGCTAGGGTGTTTCCAGAGTTCTACTGCTTTCTGTCAGCGTCAGCTTGTAAGGCTTTGTTTTCTTTTTGAACTGTAGGAAATGTCAGGCTGATTTAGAACAGATGATATAAATCAAAAGCATGAACAATTTGATGCAAATAGAAATTTGTAATATAACCTCGAAATAGAGCGCCGTAGAAAACTATGAAATTACGGCCCTTAGAGTGGAAACTGGAAGAATTTAAAAGCTTCCAAAGTATCAAAAAAGTCATACGTCAATAAATTATAAACCTTTACTTATTTATAACTAACAATACAAATGTCTAAGTTATTTTTAAGTTGATAAAAGAAGAGGTATACATGTTTCTTATGTTCTAACCACTAAAAATAAGGGTAATAAAAGTAAAATACTACTAAACTATACGGCTACTAACCTTATACGAAAGGTGGCTATATACGATATTGAAACATAAAAGTGTGCAGTTTAATTTAGTAAACATTTCCCGTTAGATGGCAGGCAAAGAATAAACTTGTAGGTAGAGAGAAACCAATAAATAGGGCGTTTATTTCCTTATAAAGCTCGAGGTAAAATGGAAAAGTGATGGAAAAGACGGTCTTTTAGACGCTGGTTGATAGAGTCTACGGCATAGCGTGCCACGTTGCGCTTTGATGCGACAACCAATGGCGTCCTGCAGGGATAAACTGGAGAGAAATCTCTATGTCATTTTCATAGATTGGCCCTTCTTCCACATCTCTAAGGTACCTCTCAATGACAAAGAAAACAGGACACCAATTAAAAATGATTTTATATGAATGAAATTCTGTACGAAGTTAGACATAAGAAAGAGGAAGTCGGGATTAAATTTTGAAACGAAAATATTTAGGCTATATCTCTATATTTTGATACTAATATGTTAGTTCACGTTGAAACCGTATACATTCGTCCAGTCGTTAGGGGATTCTACTGATGAGGTATTTTAAGTATTCCTGACTTACCTCATATCAAGCTAGCTATATGATTTATGTTCTTACTAAAGATAGTTCTAAAACACTTGATGTCTTTATTAGAAAAGAAGAACAGCTCTAGCTGATTTCGCCCCAGGTTAATAAAGGCATTTTATTTATTATTTGATTAAAAAAGAATGCTGGTGGTGGATCAGGCAAAGAGGTCGCTCTTCTTCCCATCATGTTCCCCACGCATGCTCAGTGGGTGAATGGTCCTGAGATGTAGGGGGACAAGGAAGGAGGTTGATTTGACTGTTATTAAGGTAGTCTACTGTAGCTCTAGGAATATGGGAGGCCATTATCTTGCAGGAGAACAGGGTTCTCAATTGTTCGGAGAAATAGTAAAAATAAGTTTCCAGTATTTCCTGGATATACCGCGAAACTAGAGGTGATTTAGTACTATATCAGCTGAAAGATTGCTGCTCGCACATTACATCTCCCGACCGTTATGCGTTCAGGACATAAAAGTGCTGCTCTGCCAGGGATACTTCACCATTAAGGTATGTAACGTACTATTAGACTCTGGCGTTTAAAGTTTCAGATATAATGTATGGTATAAGGGATAAGCATTCTCAATAAAAATATCGGCCTTAAGACCAAAAAGACGGAAACCTGAACAAAAGCATAATCGATATATGGTCAATACTTTTCTTCTTTTCTAAGCTTCTGATTTAAACGTACAAATATTGAACTGGCCCTCCGGGATACGCCTATGATTTTACAACCTAATAATTTTTCAATATGGTGCCGATTTTACGCTCGAGCAGTGTTTTATTAGAGTATATTTTCGCGCAGTGAATCATTTTATATGAGCACGAGTTTGTCGATCTGGATACCTTTTAGACACTGCATTCTTTCAAATGGCCAAGATAGAAGAAATTTGACAATCTTATACATCCACATATTATTTTCAAGTATATTGGCATAGGAATTTATTAACGTACAGTATCAAACAACCAACCATCCATTTCTTGCTTTATCAAGTTTTTACTCCCATTTACATTATATGATATTTCAGTTTTGTAGAATTTATAACAAAACGTATGCAACATCAGATTGCAAAGGTACTGAAAGAGCGATCTAATATTTCTTATAATATGCGAGCTCCATCCCACTCATACACCTAAACAAAGTATTGATCGTAAAACATAACAATGGACGAGGAAGGAACTGAATCAAAAGCAAAGCATAACTGTACTTTGAGACTAAAATGGAGAACTTGGTGTTACACTCCTTACCAAAGATCTTAATGGAACTACCTAGAGACCTAGACCTCTTCAAATAAATCAGTGCCATTTCTTAAAGAGCTAGATCTAGCAACTTCAGTACGTTAGTTTTTAACATATTGAAGTGGTTGGTAAAGCTCCTCGGTTATTCACAGGATGTCATATTGTTTAGACAATTATGGATTAACAAGCATCACATGGCGATTTTTACTAACAGTTAGCTTTGGAAATAGTATATTAATCTATCATAATTTGTTAAGTCTATTTTTCGTAGACCTAGTTAGAAAGCAAAAGGATGGCACATTTGAGTAATTCCAACATCCTGAAGAATAAAATAATGAACGTCCTTTTTGTTGTAGATTGTAGATGATCTTACTTGGTAAAATTCTTGCACCATGTGATCAACTTTCTGTACACGTATTATTGACAGTTAAGATTTTCTGGGGGTGTCCCTCATTCCATTGTGGCTACAGCTACAAAAATATTCC